TATATATATATATATATATATATATATATATATATGTATATATATATATATATTTAAAATGTTTATATATATATATATATATATATATATATATATATATATATATATATATATATATATATATATATATAAACATTTTAAAAAATGGTAAGTTTAATCATAAAAATTAATCGTATGAACATTACAAAATGCTTTAAAACTTTTTCATTATTCCAACAAAATACATGCTTATATAAGTAAATAAAGTTATTTTATATTCTTGTGTAATTCACACAAAATGTGTAAAAGTTAGTAGTCACAAAAGCTTTTGAACTTATTCACAAATTAAAGTAACTTGACAAAATTCTTTCTAAAATTAATGGTTTAAAAATGTTTTAGGAAGACATAAGAAAATAGTTTCAAACGTTTAAATTTATCATTAAAAATAAATGCCTACATAAAAAAAACTTATAATGTTTTTTATTAATTTACACAAGCGTTTATGTAAACAATAACTATAAATAATTTTATGGTTTTATTTAAAGCATAAAATAAAAAACTATAGAAAAGACCAATGATTAAAAGATATTTATAACATAACACTTTTTTTATTGCATACAAATTGTTAAAACATCAAAATAACTGTGGTCAAGTTGTAAAGAAATAAAAATATTAGCGTGGTCAATTACAGAGTGCGATTGCACGCCATTCCTGTCCAAGTCATATATATACATACATATATATATATATATATATATATATATATATATATATATATATATATATATATATATATATATATATATATATATATATATATATATATATATATATATACATACATATATATATATATATATATATATATATATATATATATATATATATATATATATATATATATATATATATATATATATATATATGTATGTATATATATATATATATATATATATATATATATATATATATATATATATATATATATATATATATAAAGTATATATAATAACTTATTTGCTTATGCTTGCTTTGATTGGATATTTGTAAACAACCTTGAAACAACCAACTATTTCACAAATATATTAATTGATTGATTGATAGCATTGTTTATTTTTCTCAATATAATAGAAAATTCCTCTGATAGCAGTTTTAACTGTAGGGTATAGCAGGGTTAGATTTTGGCATTAACAGCCTTTTAATAACTAAATTTACTCTTGCTATTTACCAAACAGAGACATTAGAATAAGAGTTTATTTTAATGCTGGCCTTAAAAACTGCTAATTTACTTTTAATCAGCCGATTGTTTATCGCAGGGTTTAATGGAGAGATGTCAATATGGCTGCTGTTAGCTTCGTGTTTAAGATGCTGTTTTTTTCAAACCAAATAAATATATGTAAGATGGAAAAAAATAATACATCTGTAAACAACATAACATTAAATTTTATTCAAAAGTATTAAACCATAAAACTATTGTTTAAAAAACAAAAGTTTTACTAATCAATAGTTGTTTGGCAATCAAACTGTTCTTTGTCAATCAAGCAGCTATTCGAAATTAAGGGGGAAAAAAAATTAAACTAGTTCTGAACAAGTAAAATTAAACTAGCAAATCAAACTAGTAATACCAAGTTCAACAGTTAAACACATTACACAAATCACTGTTAAAATTTTTATTAAGTTGCACTAGTTTGGGTGCCCATACTGGTCAAATGGTATGAGATTGCATCTGGGTAGAGCACTGGTTATCTCTGGCTCTCAAAAAATTTATGAAAATATGTAAAATAATTAATATATAAGCAAATATAAAATTAAAAATATTTTTAGTAATTTTCTTAGCAATCCTACCTACAAATTACTTGCAATTTTTTCTTTAGTGACAAAATGATATCATATCAGTAATGCATTCTAAAACCATTAAACAGTAGTGGAATTTCATTTAATGTTTTTTATTTTATAAAATTTCTAGTAAAAAGTTTTATTCGAAAAATATTTAAAACATTTTTTTTATAAAAAAAAAAATAATAATAATGTTAAACAACATTGTTAAAATTTGTGGGTGCTCAGTAGGTATCAAATTTTTGGAATGCAAAAAATCCATCATCATCAAAAATAATACAACTTCAATAATTACAACTTCTAATTTAAAAACATAAATTGAAAATATCTTTAATTATATACTCATATGTTTAGGTTTTTTAGCACTAGAATTTATTTATAAGAAATACATTTTTTTGATTCTAAAAAGTTTTAATTAATGAACTTGCACCCTTTTCAAAATGAACAGTTCAATTTTACATAAAGAGAAAACTTCAAACGATTTTAAGAAAAGTTGCATGGTGAAGATTTCCAAAAAAGATTTTAAACAAAATTGCTTGACCAGGTGATGAGGATATAATAAAAAATTATTGGCAGAAAATAAGAAGCAGTGTGTTTATCATTAACAAATAGTTTAGTTTTAGGACAGGAAAGTGAACAACAGTTCATTTTCATGTCCATTTGCAATATATATTGTAAGACAAGTTTAATAAAAAATGTCAGAAAAGAAAAATGTTTGTGGATAAGAACTGTAGATCTAGAAAACATTTAGGTGTTAGAGAATGGTTGGTAACAGTTACCATGGCTGTGTATGTGTGTCATGACAGAAATCATGGCATACATACACAGCTTTATACAAATCATGACATACAACAGCTTTATTCAGAATATATTTGATTTGATTTAATTTGATCACTGAAAATTTTGAAAGTTAGTGAAAAACAATGAGGCAAAACCAAAGATATATATAGATTATGTTAGTGTATTTACAAATAGAGTGCTCAATGTTCTTAAAGAACAGAGCAATAATAAATTAGTAAAAACACTTATCTAATTTTTAACTTCGAGGGCTTGTTCCCTATCAATAGGTTTATCCCAGGAAGCCTGATAAACTAATGAACCTACAGATAAAGCTTCCTCATGAACCTACTGATAGAGAAACATGTTGTTAAAGAATAAAGATAGATAGGTGTTTTTACTAATATATATATATATATATATATATATATATATATATATATATATATATATATATATATATATATATATATATATATATATATATATATATATATATATATATATATATATATATATATATATATATATACATACACACACACACACTTACTAAAGTGTGTTTTGATAAGCATTTGCTCACTTTTTCTGCTTACCTTAAGCTATACTGTTTTTTTCGAAAAAGAAGAAGAAAAAACGAAGAACGATGAATAAAACAATTGTTTCCCCATCCCAAACCCTCAGTCAATGTAGCAGCACTCCACTGCGAGTCAGGCGATATATGTACTGAAGCCCCCAGCAGCAGGCTATTTCAGTATGACGTCAGATTGCTTACAATAGTACGCAATACTATATATATATATATATATATATATATATATATATATATATATATATATATATATATATATATAACACACACACACACACATTTTATATTTGTATATATATATATGTGTATATATATATATATATATATATATATATATATATATATATATATATATATATATATACACACACATATATATACAAATATAAAAGTTTTCAAAAATAAAATAATAGACAAATTTAACTTTTTAAATTAACTTAATAAATTTTATTTTAGACATTGGAGCCTAAAAGAAAACCATCAGGAATTTAAAATATTTGAAAATTTCTAAAGTTATTAAGCTAATTAGAAATGATATAGGAAATTCTATTGGATGGAAAAATGCACTTATGCTAGATTTATCAGGACTATTTATTGATCCAAAAATCAGATCAACTTTAGTTTTTGGCAAACTCAAAATGGACAGGCAAAAGAAATTTCTCCATTTATACAGAGGTTATTTGAGATTCGAATTAGTAAAACAAGTGGTCATACTAAAAACAGAATTATTAAAGTTCTAGAAATTGCATTTGATGCTCAAATATGATATATATACAACCAAAAAAATTTGCTCAAATATTTTTGATCAAGTCAGATAACAAAATACATAAAAGATTTTTCTTATTCAGAAAGTGTTTAGAGATCATGTACAACTTGTTTCCAAAGTTTCTCATATTGTCTATGGTATGGAAGCATGTCAAAACTTATTGTGGATAAAATTTTAATCAGAAAGCATCAAAAGAGTTTTATGTTTAAATGTTTATTTGTGTCTAAATAAATTTTTGTTATAAAAATTTACGTAATGAGTTTCTGAATAATTCTTTTAATTATTTAATATTTAAAGTCTTTTTTTTTTAAAGTTTATTTGTGCAATATTTCCTATTTTTTCTTCCAATAACAAATATACAAAATGTGTATAGATTTTCTATATTTAAATCAACGCAATTTTCTATAGAATTTTGAAACAAATGGTCTAAGAATTCCAACTACAAAAAGTCTACAGAATATTGTATTTAATCGCAATTGGTAGTCTAAAGAAACCTCTATTTCTATAGGCCATTTGTTTCAAAATGCTTGTAGAAAATAGTATAAGTTATTTTTATAGAAAAACTACACAAATTTTGTTAAAGGGTAGGATAAAAAATGAATGACAACTTTATTTTTTACTTTTAAATTGTAATCTTAACAGTTTAAATACTGTTTCAACAGTTTTACTTCTTGTAGTTGTCTCTGATTTGCCAAATATTCTGAAGTAACATAATATTCTTTAACAGAAAACTAGATTTTTCAACAAACTAAAGTTTTAACTATGATGTTTTTAAAACTTCAACTAAAAAACACTTTGTTTTTGACAACATTTTATATCTCAAGAATGTTATTGATCCGGACAATAGATTTCTGAAAATAAATTCAGAGCATAGATCTCAACAAAATTTGATGTGGAAAAGTTTTATAACATTGAATTGAAAAATATTTTACGATTCCGAATTTACAGCTGTAAAAATTCTAGAATAAAATATCTGCCGGTAGCATTTTACGCCAATAAAAAGTTTTATAACGTTGACCCTTGATGTTTCTTTTAACCAGAAAAACTTACCATTTTGAAAAACACTTTCAAATATTTGTAACTCTTGCAATGAGGATTGAACAATCAATTCACTTTTTGTGTGTCCAACATATACTATATCACTTTTCACTAAAAAAATTGTATAAACAGTATTAAAATAAAAAAGTAACAAATACAATAAAGTAACAAAAAGGTAGGACCCTGCGATTCGCCAGTTTTTGTTTCAAATCTCGAATCAAAGGAGGTCTTGATTCGTGATTAGAATCACGTTTCGAATCAATATTTTGAAGTCTAAATTTAAGTATTTTTTATTTTAATAATATATATTTCAAAATAAAAAAAAATAATTACATAATCTCTTTATTGATGCTTCTTGCCCTGGTTAACTATTTTAATGACTGATTAAAAAGGTATTTAAGGAAAAGTAACATTATTTTGATAGCGCCAAAGCGCAGAATAATAAAGATTCAATTTTTGAAAATTTTCAAATCGTATCTTGAATCATACTTTTGATTCAATTTGAAATTTCAAAGTGTCGCAGGGCCCTACAAAAACGTCTTAAAAAGGTTGAGGATTTTATCACACTCATATAGAAATGGAGCAAGTTCAACTTTTCATAAACACTCTATTTATAAAACCTAAAGGACACAGAAAGTATATTAAATAGATACCTGTAAAAGATTGACATACAAAGAAAAAAAATCTTTTATAAAATTTTGGGAAGGTCCATTGATTAAAAAAAATCTTTTAATAACTTTCATAAAAAACTGGATGAATGTGGCGAGACTAGAGAATGCCAAGGTAGACATTCACTAGATCATTCAATTTTATTTTGCTTTTTATGAAATAGAACTTTATTTTTATAAAAAAAAGATTTTATTATAAAATATGTGGTGAACCACAGATTAGGAAATCTACTAATAAGAATTATAAAGACATCACATCCTCCAGGATAATTAAAAACTATTAAAATAAAGCAGTTCTAAATAGTTAAAAAAAAAATAAACACAATATATGTATGTGTGTATATATATATTTATTTATATAATTAACCTATTCATTAAACTTTTTGTAACACTTGTACTCAGAGCAACCAATAAAGTATATACTTGTATAAATTTTAATCATTAGATTAATTAGTAGATACAAGCTGTAGAAACTTAATCTATAAACTAAAAAGATTGTTCTTAACTTATATTAGCCTTATATTTTTACATTCTTTTTTCTAAGTTTAAATATAACAAAAAAAATTTTCTTACAGTGACAAATAAGTAAAATAAACAAACACAAATAAGTCAAAAATATCAACCACAATTATAATAAAAGTTTTCTGAAAAAAATAAAGTATAACCAAAGATAATGAAATAAAAAATTGATTTAACAAGGTAAAAAGATGTTCCAAATTAAAAAAAGACCAACAAACAAAAAGAGTGAATAATTTATACAAAGATTAATGATCGGAAATATGGAGTGAGGGGAAAAAATATCGTAAACAAACAAAAATGTGCAAAATAAGTGCATGCATACTTTTATAAAATATATACAAATACACTTTTACAAACTGTATTAAATCCTATGTAATACTACATAGGATTTAATATAGTATAAAAAATTTATACATAAATTAATTGGTTTATTTTTGTGTTTGACTTTACAGTCAGGGTTCCCACCATTAAAACTAAGGCTAAAATTAAGGATTTTAAGGAGATTTAAGGAGATATTTTCCTAATATTTAAGGAGATTTGGTCGCGAACAACATTTTTTTGAAAGAGAAAGTAAGGATAATTGAGGAGAAAACGATTAAATTAAAAACATAATCTTATTTTTTTTAATAAATTTTAAATATAAACAGAGAAAATATTATTACTTGATATATATATGTATAAATATTAATATATATATATATATATATATATATATATATATATATATATATATATATATATATATATATATATATAACAAAAATAGTTTTGAAAACTATCAAAAATCTATATATTATCTTCTTTATTAACAAGTATAATTCATTTACTCTAAAAATTTTTTCTAGATGAATTAAAAAAAAGGAAAAAAAAAGAAGAAATTAAGGAGAGCAGTCAAATTTTAACTTTTTTTAAGGTTATTTAAGGACATTTAAGGAGATTTTTATTTTTTAAGGATATTTAAGGTTTTTAAGGAGGTGTGGGAACCCTGACAGTGATTCATATATAATTATGAATTATTTTTCATTCTAAATATATTGCAAATCATTTTTTAATTGCTCTTTTATTTTTTTGACATACCATTTTAAGAGTGGCATTTTTTTATCAGAGTGCTTTGCTGCCAATATGAATCGTAAACATATTAAAATTTTTTTTTCAATTTAAAAAAGTTAAAGAAAAAAATTTTACACCTTTTTATGTGAACCAACTATATGCAGTCAAACATATTTTATGCATAAAGTAGTGAAAATAGTATATATTATTTATATCATATTTACGTGGATTATGATTTTTTTTTACAAAGGGTTGATTACATCGAGGTATATAAATTCTGATTGTCGACATTCATTTAAACTTTTTCTTTAATCTATTAAATATGGTAAACTATTTTGATAGAAAAATGAAATTTACATAAATATGTAAGCTTATTGGTTATATAACCCTGTACTATTAGGGTAGGGTTAGGGTTGCCAGATGCCTGGCTTTTATGGTGGAGAATATTGTGATAAAACTGTAAAAAAAAATTTTTACTGTATTCTCCTTTATCATTTGGCCACTCTAGGTAGGGTAATACAAATACAGCAGGGTAAATAAAATAGGGCAGGGTAGTAAAAATATTATTAATAAAAAGGTATAGGTTTATATAAGTAGGGTTAAATAACCTTACTAGTAGTACTAGTAAGGTTTTACAACCTTACTTATATAAACCTATACCTGTTTATTAACAATATTTACTCTACCTGTTTATTGATAACATTTGATAGTTATGTAGTGTAGTATTAAAAAGACCGAAGATGTTCTTCTTTCCTTAAAGTAATATTTGTTTTTTAAAAACTGGTGATTGTTTTGAATATTTACATAAAAACATTTGTTTTAATGAAACTTTTTGTAAAACGGGACAAGATGGCGAACGAGGTAAGATAACTTTTATTATAACAACTTAACAAAAATATTATAAGATCGGTGGTAACGAAAATTTATATATAGCCTATTATTAATAGGCTATTAATAGTATTTATGTGACCATATCTAAAATAAAGTTTTTTTTAGATATTATTTCCTGTGATCACAGAAAAAAATTTACAAAACTGAAATAAGTTTTTCTAAAAACTTGTTTGAACCAATATTTTTAAAAGCTTATTGATTTTAAAATAGCAAGAAACTAAATTATGAAAAAAGTATTAAACAACTTTTACATTCATAAATATTTTTTATCAGCAAAATGTCATTTTTTTTTCATTTGTTCTGCAAATTCCAAACAGATACACGAATAAAATGAGGGGAGGGGTAATTGTGTGGCGTATTCTTAAAAAGTACCAACAAAAATCACCTTCCTGAAATGTGTCAAATCCCTAGCCGACTAGCCGACTATATTCCTCAAAAAACCGACTAAAACTTGAAAAATGTTTTCTTTGAGGGGGTGTCACCCTCACACCACTCTTTTTCCCCGTAAAATCGCTACTAAGCAATTATATTTTTATTAACTAAATTTAACGAACAAAATAGCTGCAAAGTTTTCATTGAAAGTTCGTTCCAAATATCATTAATGATATTCAATGCTAATGCATTGGCAATCCCAAACGCACAAAGCTACTCTCAAATATTTGCATTATCATAATGCAAATGATTTCGTTACTAGGACGCAAGTAATTACTTCTGATGATGGTTTGAACTTATGGGATCAAAATATTTCCCCTAATACAAAAAATAGTATGTTAAGTACACTATTGAGATTCACTTTGTTGTCACTGTAAGTAAATAACATAAAATGTGTTTTTTAAATTTACCTTTGAAAATGTTTAGGAAAACAACCAAAAAACGGAAGAATTTCTTCATACTAGGTACTCAATAGTATATTCATACTATACGTGCTTATATATATAAATAAAAAAAAGCTTCATTTGCAATTAAATCAAATTCTTTACATTAAAAAATTCCATATTTTTTTTAAATTTGAAAACAAATATTAAAGAAATGAAAAAAAAAAAAACTAAAAAAATAAAAAGTATAGGCACTTTCCAGTAAGCTATTGAATACATAACAAGAAGATCAATGTTGTATGCATTAAAAAATCATTTTTTGTGGCGTCTTCGCAAATCTATAACTTCAATTGAGTATTGAAATCTTAGAAAAATGAAAAAAAAAAATCGAAATTTAAAAACGATTAAAAAAAAAAAATAAGTTTATCAAGCTTTTGTCTAATATATTTGCCTGGATTAACATTTTATATTTTATATATATTTTAAAATAAAATATTTAATAGATTATCCAAAACTTTGCACCAAAAGTGCAAAGTTTTAAATAATGTGGAAAGAAGTAAAACTCTTCTGTTTGCGATTAGGTGCCGTATATAATGTACGGTACACTAACGTTACCGTATACAATGTATGGTTAACTAACATTACCGTATAGTTTACAGTTTACTTGATAGACTAGATTTAAGTTTAGTGTGTACTGCATACTAACTAGTATACGGTTTAGTTTGATTACATTTTACAATTATTTTGTGGACTGTTATTACTAAATATTTGTAATAAATAATAATATAGTTAAGTACTAACACTTTTCTAATATTTTAAAATTATTCTTATTTTTTTCACTTTAAACGTTTTTTATTATTTAAAATAAACAGCCAAATAAAATCATAAAATTCAGGTTAGAGTTCTGGCTAACAACCAAGAGGTCCGTGGTTCAAAACCAGCTCTAGCCCAATAAGCGTCATTGGAAAGGAAAGAGGCGTGAACATCGTAGTTAAATGCTCTTCCGCGGTGCTATATAATAAGACCCTAAAGACTTTTGGGAGCACCTTTACAACCACAAAGAATAAAAAAAAAGAAACTTAAAAGCGCTTTTTACTTTTACATGGTTGCTACTTCAAAACCAAGCCATTTTTTGATTAAATTTGAGTTTGTTAAAAAAATAAAATGAATACTAAAAATACATTGTATATGTAATATAAAGAAAAAACGGCATATTTTAGAAATATTGTAACAACATTTTTTATAGACCTAGTTTACATATCTATAGAGTTATACATTTTCCTGTAAATCAGCACGCCATAAACTCTTTTTAATTCGGTGTTAGTTTTCAAAAAAATTACAGTCATGTCAGGTTGGACATAAAGCATCAAAATAATTTATTTATCAAAATTTTTGATTTAATTTAAAATAGTTTTAATTCAATTTTCAAATTAAATCAAAACTCATCAATAAATTTTGAACTTTATCAAAAAATGTTTTCATTTTGAAATGGTGACTAAGATTTCAAAATTTTTCCCAAATTAGCAAAAATTAGCAAATACAAAACTTATATTCAAATTTCATGAAAATATAGGTCGTACACGGCTTACAAGATTAATTTAGATCTAGCAGATTAATCGAAAAGAATTTGAAGCATTAAAGGAAGCTAATAAATTACCCAAAACAACTCGCGCACTGGTTGGAAAAAAAATTAATTAAAAAAGGATGCTTTCATGAAGCTTTAGAACACTACATGCACAAAACATGTAAGAATCCGAATTCGGTGTTTGAATACCAAACAAACTAAATGTAGTCAGCTGAGTAAGCTAACGGACACTTACATAAATTGTTGTTTTTTCATGGTCTTACCTTTTGTAACTTACAATATTTTTCTACAAAATTTAAAATCTGTCGATAAATTTAAATTTAGTTTAACTTGAAAATTTTATTACATCAGTGCCCTAACGTTTGGGCGAGGGAGGGGGCAAGCGTTTTAGAGCTATTTTGTTATCTGGCATAAGTTAGTTTGTCTAATCTGTGCAAATCATAAAATTCAAGAAATTTTTGATTTAAATACAATATTTTTATCAAAATAAGCAACATTATGCAAAACTTTTGCAAAAATGCTCTCTATGGCAGATTATTATACTATTTTATAACAACCTTTTTTAAATATTTTATCTTGTTTATATCAAGAAAGTTCTATGTAAATGATTGAAGAGGTTTGGAAAAGTGGAATAGAGTTACTTATAAAGATTGGAAGGGTTACTCCAACTGACGATTAATGCTTACATCAGGTATGGTATCAGACAAGCGCAAAATTTTTCAGACAAGATTTTTAATTCAAGAGATCATTAAGTCAAATTTCTGCATTAAAAGGTTAAACTCATTCTGCACAAATTGTTTTCAACTAGTTGGAAGGGAGATTGGACACCTATGCATAAGAACATCTGCTGTTCAAAATGCTAAAAATAATATTCGTTTCTAAGATAGAAAAATTTCAGCGCAAATAGCCTCAACTATTCTAAAGTTTCTAGTAAAGGCTGAAAAATCGTTGCAATTATCCACTAGTAGATTTTTATTTATTGGTTTTTATTTATTTATAATGACTTGCTGCGATATTTTATTCTAATTTTAGGAAGCTCATTGCTATTTGTAGTAAGCTCCAAACAAATAAAGTGGTCTCTACTGATACTTGATATTAGGAAAGACCATGCAGCCTGAAAATGTTATTCGTGATATTCTTAGAAATTTACGAAAAGATCTTGGTCATCTAGATGTTTTAATATTTTATAATTTAATTTAATCGGAAGTATTTTAGTTTTTTTATTTTCAAAAAATTTATAATAGTTGATATAGCTCACATAGTTTACGGATTTCACAACTAGGTGTTAAAAAGAATTCAATTGCTACGACTATGAAGCGTTCTAATGCTATAAAAAAAGTTTTACATTTAAATAATAATTGCTTTTTTAAATGAAAATGAAAATGAACTTTAAAACTCAGTGTTGAAAAATGTTGAATACATTGAAGATCTCACAAGACTTGTTCAAGAAATATGCTATTTACGTGGATTAGACTAACCATTTTTATACTATGCAAATAAAAGAAATAAAATTAGAATTATTATTCAACTGTGATTAGTTTTCTGGTAATAATGAAAAAGTTAGAGGTCCAAAGTAGAAATGGAATGACTCTGGATTGAATAAGGTAATAATTCTGGCTTTGGCACGTAATTTCAAGGAGAACAACCATAATCTTAGAATGCTTTTTAAATTAATTAATTTAAATCAGCACAAATTTTTTGTGGCTTTTGACCTAATACTCATAAATGTACTTCTTGGCATCTGATATGCTAAGAGATTTTGCCTAATTTTAATAATTTTTTACAAGTATCTATTAAAACATTAAATCTTAGAATAACAAAACAATTTATTATAGAGTTATAGTGGAAAACATGCATGTTGTCACTGTACTGGTACAAGTAGCTCGTTAGGTGGTTTAAGAACTTTTGCCTTCTTAATTTTCGATAAGTACCAAGATGCAGGATATCCTTATAAGACAATGAAACTGTTTAATAATATTTTTAACCCATGTTTGCCATGTATATATATATATATATATATATATATATATATATATATATATATATATATATATATATATATATATATATATATATATATATATATATTTATATATATATACATACATGCATAAAAAAAGCTTAAAAAAAGTGGCTTCCATCTACAGCTCTATGAGAACTTAAACTAATTAAATACATGCATGTTTTAACTAGGTAATGTAATATATTTGATCTCACTGTTTAGTTTGAAAAAAAAAAAAAGTTGTTTTCTATGCATTTCATTTTGCTTTGAAACCTGTAATGTATAGAAAAGACTCAAAAAAATAATTATTGCAGTACGTAAGCCAAAAAGTTGTCAAACCATTAAAAGTATTATTTTATATTAAATTAACCACATTTTAAAGACAAAGACAATGGGTGGTCGTGTGGTTTTCTATGATATTTATCATAAGAGATAGCTCAAATAATAAAAAAGATATTGTTTTTGAAACACTATTTTATGGATTTCGGAAAATTCAATATGGACTAACACTTAGGATTTTATTTTCAACACATTCTCGTACATCTCGTACATCTCGTACATCTCGTACATCTCGTACATCTCGTACATTTTGTACATTTCGTACATCTCGTACATCTCGTACATCTCGTACATCTCGTACATCTCGTACATCTCGTACATCTCGTACATATTGATAGAATCTGAAGAAAAACCTCATGTCTTTTGAAGTTCAACCAAGAACCATTAGAACAAAAAGTGTATTAGTGTTGCGCGATTCTAGACTTTTCTTTCAGAAATATTATTTAGAAATATATATAAAAAAAGGAAAATTGTAACAAATATAAATAATCATGCCACATAACTTTTGATATATGTAATGCGTTTTGATTCACAATAACATATACTATTACATATATAACAAACACGTAACATATGGTATAATAAAACATACGGTACAATAAAACAGATAACATGCAATATATATAAATACTACCAAGGGTTATACATTTGGATCAAGTACAATCCGATGAGTTAATTAAACTTTTTGGAAAGTTAAACTTGCCAATGTCGTGAATATAATCACGATTGTTTTAATTATTTGAAGCTGCTTATCAGCAAATTATCTGCTCTGACAATTGTATCACTTTTTGGTTTCACTGCAAGCCTCTGAGTTCTTCGATTGTAAAATTCACCATCTTGAACTTATCATCTAATTTTGCACTTTTTTGACGAATTTCCTATGCAATTGTTGCTCTTAAGTATGATATTGTCCTAATGACTTTTTTCTTCGTGTCTTTTCTTTTCAACAATGCTAATTTTGTAAAATTTACCATTTTGAATTTATCATCAATTTTCACTCTATTCTGAAAAATAACCTATGCAAATTATTGCATAGGATATTTGTTAGACAATAACATTTCGTCTGGCGCATAATTGAAAAAATTTGTATATTTGTAATTTTCAATAATTTGTATAACAAATTAATGAAAAAAAAAATATTTTGAATAAAATATTTTTGAATTAAAATATTTAATTTGAATATGTCCATTTAGGAAAAGACTTTACAACAAGATTAAAAATTATTTGCAAAACGTTTAATAATTAACAAGCAAAAGAGTAAACATTGCCTTTACTATTTCATTAAATCCTTTATTTCATTTTACACTGTTTTACTTTATATTTTTTAAATAGAATTTACAATTAAAATTGTAAAGTATGTATAATTTATGCACTAAAGTGTTTAATTATGTAACTCTAGAATAAATATTATGATTAGATTTCTTAATCTATTTTTCTGCAAAATAACACGTCTAAATTTAATCCCAAGTTCGTTCAAGTAGAAAGAGAGTACAAGAGAAGAAAATTCATGAGTTCTGCATGTGCCGTTATTATTTATATATTACAATTTTACGGTCATGCGCAAAGAACTTACTCAGCCGGCTTTTGGTTCTAAAAAGAACGTCTTTTTAGGAACAAATGCCGGCTGGGTAAATGCGTCTTCCCGTATAACGTCAATATATAAAAAATAACGGAAAATGCAGAACTATTTTGCGCTTCTTTTTCACTTTTTTTTTAACTGGTGCGTTACCGAACTAATGCAACATTTACTTTTTAATTCTTAGTTCCAAACGCTTTGTACTAGAAAATTAATAATATCACTCCATGTTGAACGCCAATGGTGTCTACGCAAAAAAGAGATGAACTTATATTCTTTATTTTCAATACGATACGGTGTTTAGAAAATATAATGAGTTGTATCATGGAAGTATAAACAGATGGAAGTTCATCAAGCCGCAAACATCAAAGCAATTTGAAATCGTCTCAGGAGTAAGGTTGTAACTAACAATGAAAAAAAAAATCAAGTTTTACTGAACAAAAAACAACAAAACTCACTGAAATGAGTTTTAATAAAACATTAAAAAAATAAATATTCAAAGGATACGCTACATAGTTATAACCGTTAGTTATTGTAATTCAACAAAAGGTTTATTAAAACTCAGTAACTAATTATAACAACTATATTTTAAAAGCATACGTTAGTTTAAGCTTCTTTTCTTGCTTCAAACCATTACACAACATTTGATTAAAAAGACAGCTTAAACAATATTTGAAAAGTTGTTTTTGCCGTTTTGTTGTCGCCATTTTGTAATGTTTTTATTTGGCGAACCAACAAAATACTGCATTTTTAAATTACCCATTACATGTCTTATTTTTGTTTACTAAAGAAAAGATTACAAGCACTAGACGCAGGGCTAACTGAGTTTTGCACACAACTTTGAGAAGCTAACATCCGCCATTATGCGGTACAGCTAAAACATTTTACACAACTATAAATCAATGATATATTATATAAACTAGATGTCAAACTTCGATTCAAAAAGTGAAGCCAAAAATTTGTAAACAAATATTTTTAACTTTAAATGAAGTAATTGTATTTTAAGCGGAAATAAGATAGCTTGCAAAATTATAATTTATACCTCTTTAATTTATTTTCGATTAAAAAGGATTAAAGTTCTGAATAGAAAAGTAAAGCGACAGACGCTTTTGAAGCATTTTTATGAATTAAAATATTTCTAATAAGCATAGGCTCATAAAAAAAACTTTCATAAGTATTTTACAATTATTAAAACTTGTTTTTGAATTATCTTTATTTTATTGGGAACTTTTGACTTGCATTTTAAACTTTTATTCCACATTTCGGCTTCAGCTTTTGCCTCTTTTACAAATGGCGGACTATTGTTATAATCAAAAAAAAAAAAAACGGCTTCAATTTTTGTCCAATAAAATAATTATTAATAGTTCGTAATTATTAATAGTTTCTATTAAAAACCTAACGGATAAAGCCTTCTTGAATATTTTATTCAGGTAATATCAAATATATATTTACTTTTTATACTAACTTTTAGATAAATTTATTTAAAATGTTACTAATTATCTTCTAAAGTTTAAACTATTTCCAACTTCTTCTTAACTTTTCTTAAATTATTCAATACAGGTATTTTGGTACTAAAAAACTTCAAAATCGGTAATGCCTTAAGGCATTACCAATTTTGAATAAATTTATTCAAGCTTAAAAAAATTAATTAAAACGTGAGTAAAAACGTTCGAGCTTTGTGTTCAAGCTAATCCAGCAAGTTTTATAGTCGATCAATAGTAAAAGAGGTTTACCAAATTCGTCTATTGTATATTTTTTGTGTAATTATTGAATTATTTTTTATCAGAGAACGACAAAAAAATTTCACAAAAGTACACAACTTAGTGATTAATGGCATAAATTATTAATCAGTTCAATAGTGTCATCCTTTTTATTTTTTCATAAATTCAAACTCGCCGGAAATATCTTCTTTATTATTGTTAGTTATGTTTACGTTATCGTCAATTCTCTTATCTTCGTTATCGTTGACGTCACTTTCACTGCTACTTTTGTCATTGCAGACTCCTATCAAATTATTTAAAACAGATGTTAAAATTTTTTTTATAAAACGTCTGGTACGCCCATTTAAATGCGATACACAGTTCAAAGCTTTTTGTAACGATTGCTTAGGTGCCCCATTTACTGCATTACGGACGCTCCATCAGTTGTAATGCACACAATGTCTTTATCTTAATTTAGCATAAACTGAATATAAAAAAATTGTATTGTATATAACCTATTTTTTTATTTTAACACATCCCCACAGTATAATATATTTATACTAAAAAAAAAAACGGCTTCAATTTTTGTCCAATAAAATAATTATTAATAGTTCGTAATTATTAATAGTTTCTATTAAAAACCTAACGGATAAAGCCTTCTTGAATATTTTATTCAGGTAATATCAAATATATATTTACTTTTTATACTAACTTTTAGATAAATTTATTTAAAATGTTACTAATTATCTTCTAAAGTTTAAACTATTTCCAACTTCTTCTTAACTTTTCTTAAATTATTCAATACAGGTATTTTGGTACTAAAAAACTTCAAAATCGGTAATGCCTTAAGGCATTACCAATTTTGAATAAATTTATTCAAGCTTAAAAAAATTAATTAAAACGTGAGTAAAAACGTTCGAGCTTTGTGTTCAAGCTAATCCAGCAAGTTTTATAGTCGATCAATAGTAAAAGAGGTTTACCAAATTCGTCTATTGTATATTTTTTGTGTAATTATTGAATTATTTTTTATCAGAGAACGACAAAAAAATTTCACAAAAGTACACAACTTAGTGATTAATGGCATAAATTATTAATCAGTTCAATAGTGTCATCCTTTTTATTTTTTCATAAATTCAAACTCGCCGGAAATATCTTCTTTATTATTGTTAGTTATGTTTACGTTATCGTCAATTCTCTTATCTTCGTTATCGTTGACGTCACTTTCACTGCTACTTTTGTCATTGCAGACTCCTATCAAATTATTTAAAACAGATGTTAAAATTTTTTTTATAAAACGTCTGGTACGCCCATTTAAATGCGATACACAGTTCAAAGCTTTTTGTAACGATTGCTTAGGTGCCCCATTTACTGCATTACGGACGCTCCATCAGTTGTAATGCACACAATGTCTTTATCTTAATTTAGCATAAACTGAATATAAAAAAATTGTATTGTATATAACCTATTTTTTTATTTTAACACATCCCCACAGTATAATATATTTAAAATATTGAAACCAATGTGAGTTTAAATTAAAATGCTTAAGCTTTTTGACAAAATATTTTCCTGTCATGTAAGACATATTTAAAATATTATGCCTTTTCGTACCAATTACTTCAAACATATGTTTCTATACTGAAGCAAGTATATGAGTAAAGCAAATACTTATATATATATTGTCAATCTGGCTTTTCTTCTACCAATATGCCTTCATTCTAATCTTTAAAAGGTGGTTGTTTACAGTCTGAGGGCTTAAAAGTATACCTTCATCATCACTACCGCAATTTTTTTCCAGGAGGTTCTTCTTTTTTTTTGGAACATATTTTGTATCTTTTGATTAAGTCTTGGTGTAGTGGACCACACTTTTTAACTCTTGAAGAGTCTGTTTGAATGCCTGAAGTTTTTTCTTCAACAAATTTATAGTTCGTACAGAAACATTTAACTTTTCGTCATTTAAGAAAGAATTTCCTTTTGCTTCAACCCACAGTTTGTAAGCAAAACCGTTATTTTTCCTTTCTTATTTGGACTCAAGTCATTCCTTTCATTTCAGAATTTATCATTTTTAACAATTATTCATTAATAAAAATGATGAATTCTGTAGATTTCCAGCATAACTAGCATGTTCTTATTTTGTTTAGAAATGAAACTAGAACAAAATGGATAGCATTCCAACACAATAACTTGAAAACTTATTGACCCAGTTACAAATGTCTTTCCATCTGATGTTACCCTGTTCGCGGACTAATCACTTTAGAAACTATTTGAGACCTTAAGATCTACTCAACGTAGTTAAGGCGAATTAGTAAAACTTTTAAATTTTTTTATAAAAATCTCATCTTTAAAAACCTATAACTAGGTTTTAAATGAAATAAAATAAATAAAATTTTAATTTTGTTTAATATAACTACTTCTGCTTGTGTTTTAAAAAATAATATAAAGGTTTTTTTTTGTTCAAAAAGAATTTAAGAGTTTAATTTATTTTTATCATATAAATTTTGTTTGACTCGCCTAATTTGTTTGTCTTGCTTAATTTGTTAGAGTTTATTAGTTTTTTATTCAGTTAATTATTCAGGTAGTTTGTTAGTTTTTTATTCAGCACCATTTCTAAAATATCCTTTTATTTTCATTTGTTTTCTCACTGTGTCACAAAATGACTTTAAATTCGAACGTTTTTTTGCGAGAAAAGCATTTGGGGGTATAATGGCACAAGTATGTAGGAGTACATTAGAATTTTGAAATCTTTCGTCCGTGAGAAAAATTGATTTGAAATTTCCGTTTTCATTGCTGCGAACAAAAAAGTTTTATTTTTTATTGAGAACATTTAAAACTTGTTCTTTTTTCAACAAAAAACATTTAACTTGTTCCAGCATATTTGTTCAACAAAAAACATTCAATTTCTTCAGAAAATTAAAAAAAAATCAGATTCTAGCTGAACAAATCAAGCAACTTAAAAAAAGGATTACTCTTATTAAAAATTGATGTTGATGGGTAATTTTTTACATATCATATGTTATAGTACAGTATTCTCTACAAAAAAGTTAAAAGGAATGCTTGCTGTTGTAATCAATCAAACAGTTAAGAAAGTTCTTAGGGTGCCCGGATAATTACTGGACCTTTTCAAGCATTGCCAATGATTGTTGAAATCATGATGGAGTGATTCTGTTCCTTGCTCTGAATAGATGTCCAGTGAATAGTAATGGCAATCCATAAACATTTACATGTTTTATATGTTTATTGATTGCCATTTACATTGTGTTACATGAAAAAAGACTCTTGTTTCGAAACTTGAGGTTGAATTCTACAATATACAACTATCTACGATAGTTGTCTTAAAGAACATATCCAAAAGTAGAAAAAGAAGCATGAGCAACTTCATCAAAATTTCTGAATGTGTCAATGAATGGAAATGTAAAAAAGCAAACATGTTTTTCCGCAAGTTGTTGAAGCAACTCAACATTTTGTAAAAACTTTCTCCACTCATTGCCTGCAAACTTTACTTCGTGAAAAGGTTGTTGTTGATTTTTAGCCATTCCAGTGAATTTTTTAATTGCGGACACAGAATCTTGAAGAGGTGGTTAACATTACCAAAAAGTAAGTGAGGTTCCATGGGTGTAATAAAATTCAAGATTAGTGTTCCTTCAGGTAACTTAATAACTGGATTATGCACAACATTCTGTAAGTCCCTCGCTTTTTTTGTTTGTGTAAATACTGTTTGGAAACCTGTATGATCGTTTTAAATGAAGCCAAATATTCGGAGCTCAACACTCTGATGAAGATTCTTTGACTCAATGTTACACCAGGTACAAGGGTTAGCACTTGAGTGAGACTGCAAACAACAAATAATGCTTACAAGTAATATATATATATATATATATATATATATATATATATATATATATATATATATATATATATATATATATATATATATATATATATATACAG